GGATAACTCTTCACAATAACCTGTGAAACCTGTATCATTTTTATCCTCTTTTACATTGTGGAAATTGAGTCACAAGAGAGCTACTTTAGCCAAGGTCGCAAAACCAAGAAGTGGTGGACCGACAATTGGAAAGTACAAGGTCTGGCTCCAGAACCCACACTCTTAACCACAGCTGTATCCTCACTAAACTGGCTGTCAATCAGTGCTAAAGACAGTCTAGTGTGTCCACTCCCGCAGAGTGAAGCAGAGACTCCAAATAGTTCAAGAAAGCCAATCAGCTGCTGCTTCCGTCCGCACATCACAAGGGTAATCATGACATAGACAAGTGTATTAGGACAAATGTCTCAATTCTCCACTTGTGTGTTTAAACACAGCCTTAGAAACGCTTTATTTCTGGGAAATCGTAGTTTCCTCCTTTGTGTCTAAATGACATCCAACAGCCTGAGAAAGCTTGATACATCTCTGGCAAGAACAAAAATACCACCACCCGTGATTGGAACCTCATGGAAGCTCATTTGGATGAAGACTAAAGATGAAAATGCATGTACAGTTAAGCTGCTCCATTTGGGGAGTCAACTAGGAGGTCTGCTGTCAATAAAGCAACACAGCAGGAGTCCTTTCATGCTCCATCAGAGACCGAAAAAGGAAGTGGGCCGACTCTACAGCTTGCTCAGAACACTGGTCATTATGTTCTGGGCTGCTCCGAAGTGAAATTGTGAAGTGAGGTTAAAGTTAGAGATGACCTAACATCTCCACCCTTTCTGTCACCACTGTTCTCCCTCTCTCATTTTGTGTACTCAGAACGCTCTCCACTATGGGAGTCTACGTGCATTAAGTTGCATGGAGAGGCAATAGAGTAAGGTGGTGACATGCACATGTCCTGGGTGAGACACACTCTGCATTCAACACTTCAACACACCTGAGCTGTGTGACCCTGGGCAAGTTTGACCTCTCTGTGCTTAGTTTATTCATCAGTAAAATAAAGAGGAAAAGGATATTTACTCAATCTGGGTTTGCTGTAAGGTTAAAATGAGATTATATGCATAAAGGACAGCACCAAATACATGGTAACAACTCAAGAAATGGTAGCTAACAGTTAATTAGCCATTAGCCATTTTTATTGGAGGGCAAGTATAACTTCATTTGTTGTGTGCTTATTTTAGACGTTTTTGCATGTTAAGCCTCATCTTTCCTCGAGATTTTGTTTTCTATCAGAGCCATGTCCAATAGAAAAGAAAAGGTGTGAGAGATATGTTGAGGGGTTACGAACAATATCCTAAGGCATACGACATTCTTCTAGTCAGAAGATGTCTGCCTCGTTACGCAAGGCCAGGTCAGCTTGTCCGTCTGTCCCAAAGGCCAGCTCTCTCAGCCATTGGTACTGTTATCGCCTCCTGGTTCTCCCTGGATAACAGCTTGGCGAGCAGAGCCAGCAGCCTCCTCTTCCACGTGTGTCCCAAGGCTAGACTCACCAGGTGGCCTCAGCTGTGGGCTGGTGTGTCATATAGTCCTGGCCTGGGACAGCTGCAGATTCAACCCGGAATGAACAAGAAAACCCAGCCCAGCAGTAGTTTTCTATGGATGAATTAGAAAAAGAATATGACCATCTTAGCTCCTCCTTTTGAAGGTGCATTGATGGAACAAGTGTTGAAGTCCCATGAACCACGGAAGGCACCCAGTCTTCCTCAAACTACCTCCCTGACTCCGGTCTGGAAAAGGGGCTGCTTTTCACTTTGCCTTTGTTTCGGTAAATAAGACTCAGCCCGAGAGAGAAGAAGGAAACAAAAGGAGGGAGCTAGGCTGGCTAGTATAATCTCATCCATGGACACTTACCTGCAGATCTGTGTTGTTTACTGAAACTACATGTCTGGAATGCTCTCTCTCCCCATACCTCTATCTCCCTCTCGGACTTCCTTTTTTCCTGCAAGGACCATAACGTAAAAGGGTTAGGAGGTGAGGAGTGAGAATGATTCTTTCATTCCTCGTTTCGGTCATCGAGCAGGACTTGATTCCACCTTCCCTCTGTTCATATGTCCCAAATTACTTGTCTACACGTTGCCCACCAGCCATGTCATTCACAGGCCTAGCGTTGGGCACCTTTGAGGTCCTACCCAGGGGCACCCAGAGGAGGCGCCTCCTCTAACGACCACCAGGTGGCGTTCAAGCCTCAGGAGAAGCCAGAGACCCAATGCTGGAGGCCAGCTGTCACTCATTAGCGCAGCTGGAGATTCCTGTTAGGATCGCTCTGACGAGGACCGCGTGAGAGAGCTCCTCGGGGCATGGGAAACACTCACAGTTCCAGAAAAGCAGTAAATGGATGTACGATTTTCCTGGTTAATCAGGATCAAACACCTCTTTCCACCACTACTGGAGGCGGGGCTGTTTGGCAGGGTGGAGGACAGAGGATGGTACCAATCAAAATTGGTTACAAGAAGGCCCCCAATAATCCTTGGATTGTGTTGTTGAACGTCGGAAGTGGGCTGTAACAGCAGTCTTCCCATGACTTGCCCAAACAGTTCCTGTTGCTTTTGATGCTGAGAAAAAAAGCCTTTTTCTCTGGACTCCTGGCTTTGTCTGTTTTTAATAGTCACCAGCATACTTCGTTTGGGACTTGGCTCTGAATTAAAGGATTAAAAACCCTGGGGTGCCAACAGGCTCACGTAGTTCCTGCCCACGGCCCCCTTTCTGCAGAGGAACACTCGTGACCTTTGAACCCTCCATCTCAAAATTTACAGGTGAAAGGGAAAGAACGGATGTCTAAAAAATCATTTTAAAAACACACAAGAGGACTGTAGCTAAGTACCATAGTAGGAGACCCCACACAGGAAAATGGTATTGAGAGATAACGTAACAGGGCTCTGGCATAGGGTGGGCTCAAGAATTGTGTCCCTCTTTCCTTTACGCTTTCTCTGTCTGCTCCATATTCACCAAGAGTAGAAGACTTATGGAAAGTGTTTCCTCTCTAAAATGGGCTAAAAGATAAACTTAGATATACACCTATACAAAACGTAAGGACAGATTGGGGGGGGGAACCCTAGTCTTCTGAGGTTGGTGAATGGAAATTAAGCAGGTGCTTCATCGCTGTCCCATTCCCTCAGTACCAATGATGGGAACAGGAAGAAGGGGTGGGTACATCACGAGGCCGGCCCCGGGGGCCAATTCCATTCTCTTATTTTGGCACATGGCATGGCATCTGCAACAATGAGGGATAATTTGACATGAGCCTCCAGAGGGGCAGGGTGGTGTTTGAGTGCTACTGCTGCTGCTGCTGGCTGCCCCTGGACGTCTGCCAGGCAGACCCAATAGCTTCTGGGGAGGCNCTGAGCAACAGTGGTTCAATTCCTGGGCCGAGCTGAGCTGCCACTGAGCTGCCAACAGGTGGCAGGATGGCTCAGCTAAAAAAAAATAATAATAAAAAATAAAATAAAAAATAAAGACACTGACGAAAGAGGACTTCCAGAACTGCTTCAGAATTGGCAAGAACAATGGAATAAGTGTGTTTAAAGTGAGGGGAAGTATTTTTAGGGGGGTTAATGGCAACGCATCTTTTACTGTAATAAATGTTTTAAATTTAAACATTCACTGTATATATTTTTTATCACACCTCGTATAATTAAACTGTATTTGGAAGGGACTGGGCTGGAGAAAAATTGTAAAAAGTTACTATTACTCAGTGAATTTTAAGAAGTCAATTCCTAGGCTAGAGACGAGGGCTTTAAAGGTAAAATAGTTCCAGAATTAATAAAAGGAGGCCTTGACTTCTGATCATCTCATTCTACTCTGTGAGTAGACTTCATAATATGAATGTTGTTTGACACAAAGGCTAGAACTGTTATAGTTCCAGAAATGAAACACTACTCTTAACACCTTAGTTCTGAAATTAGTTGATCTTTATCCCAAATAACATTTTTTTGAAAAGAACCCCAAGGTATGGCCATTAGGTGCCTCTTATGTGCCAAACACCTCACCTTCCAATAACACTTTAATGAAAATTATCTCGGAGTTTTCCAGCTCCAACTAATGCACTGAGTCAAACTTTATCTGGAGAACGTTCCCGGTGGCATATAGTCTGAGCCAGTGTCAGGCAACGTATTTTTTAAGTGCCCCAAACCTTCCTTCTGAAATTTGCACATGTCCAGAGTAAGGTCCAGAGTACTGGGTCTGGAGACAGACCTCTGGGGTTAGACTTCATGTGTGAAACACTCGTGACCTTGAGCAAGTTATTTAACCTTTCTCTAAAGTGAGGACGATGACAATAGCCTGGTAATATAACTACCACCTCAAAGGGTTGTTCTATGATTAAATGCACTGACTCATAAAAAGCACTTCAAAGGCAGCCAGGCACGTGGAGCCGCTCAGGAAGCGCTCATTGCCATTACCAGTGTGTTGGCACTTGTTGCTGGGAAGCGCTGGAGGCTTACACGGCTCCCAGATGCATGCCTGTGTCCTGTTGTTCCTTCAGGTGTGTCTCCAGTCATGCCTTCTTCTACACGGGAGAGCGCTGTCANATCAGATATTCAGAATTTGCTGTCTCTGTGTAGAACTAATGCAATGACTCCTAAAATATTACTGATCATCAGTATTATTCATCAGACAAACTTACACCAATAAATAAATGGGCAAACATTTTTTTTAAACAAAGAGCCTTAAGCCTTAAAAGGAAGAAACTATAGCTAGCTGTTCCTCCTTCTTTCTTGAGGAAATCACTTAGCAGTGGGCGATTAACCATTCAGAATTGTGGTTCTCTGCCCTTCCCTCCTTCCAATTCGGAGTTTTAGCTCTTCTGGAAAGAGTAAATAACCTAATTTTCAACATTATTTTTTTTTTCTGATTGCAAAGCCCTATATCCTCATTAAAAACAAATTGAAAAATGAAGTATAAAGAATTAATGTGATTTTGCGTTACCTATAACTTTGCAGCAATAAACGGCTCTGTCATCTGGGACAGACCATCCATTGTGGGATCTTATGATCAGGATTGTGAGTGTTATAGAAGCATGGACTGGGGCTGGAGTGCTGTCATCTCCCACCAAATGCTGAAAAGGAGGAATTTCCTTAAAAATGATGACCTTATCATTTTTGTGGACTTTGAAGGTAATTTTCATTATCCTCCTGAATAAATAATTCTATCCTCTGGGTGTCAAACTGATTTTAAAGCATCGCATGGAGGGTGGGAATTTTTTGTTTGTTTTATTGTTTTGTTTTAAGGACTAAGTTAAAAAAAAAAGTTCTGAGAGAACTATGTTTTACACTATTACAAAAGGATTCCCATCTTTAGTTTAACTGTCCTTGGGAGAAACTAAAATTTTACTGTCATCCTTCTTGACAATTTATCAAATATGATAGTTCGCTGACTTCAGTTTACTAGTTTCAGTCTATCCATGCTAACTTTATATTTGTTTTTTCAGTTAAATAAAAATGTGATAGACTACTCTGAAAATGAAAATAACTAGCATTATGAGAGTCAGCTGGGTTCAAAGCCACTTTTCCATGTCACTAAAGGCGATGTCCATGACGGATACAGGCCACTGAGGGAACTTTCTCCAGGAGTAAAAGTTAATTGTAGTCAGGTATTAATCATAGATCTTCCTCACCACTCTTTGTCTATTTCCTCAAGATATCACCCACCTCAACCAGACTGAAGTTCACACTAAAAACACAAGGCTCACTCCTCAAGGCCTCGTTCTCCAGGACCAAGAGCAGCAGGCCTCAGAAGAAGGTTCAGGGAAGGCCTTGTTAGAGAAAGCCCCACCTGGCGGCCTGGGCCAGAGGCAGCCCAGCAGACAGAAACGGTCAGTGGAGAACACAGGCCCTATGGAGGACCACAACTGGCCACAGTACTTCAGAGACCCATGTGACCCGAACCCTTGCCAAAATGAAGGCATCTGTGTGAACGTGAAGGGGATGGCGAGCTGCAGGTAGGCCCTGTGGCTGAGGAGGCTGGTGGTGGGTCAGCAGAGGTGAGCTGAGTATTTGCTTAGCCTGGTAAAGGCACTGGTCTCACTCAGGTCAGGGCAATGACTCCATCAGAGGCTCAGCTGGACATGGCTATCCTTGACTCCACAAAACTGGGCCCTGAATGGATGGGCTTATGCTGTCAGGGCAGAGCAAGGGTATTGTCAGGTCACAGGAGCCCCAGGGCTCCTGTCTCTTGATGTGTATCACTTTTCTGCCTCTGGGGCATTGTCTACAACATCTTCACTGTTTTTGGAATTTCAAACTCTACTGCAGGGCTCAAAAACTACCCAAAGCTTTTAACCCATGACCTGCCATGGTGAAACTCGGGACCAAGCTTACATCTTCCCTGACTACCAATATTATTATTCGTTATTAATTATTATTTCTATTAGTTCTGTTGTACTGTTATTATAGTTAGGTTTTTTTATAATAGTAAGAAAAATTTCTAATATTTTTGGACTGTTTGCTATGTGTCACATGCTGTCCTGAGCAGTAGACAGGCATGACCCAAATTATTCCTCACAGCCACCCTGTGACAGAATGGCCCTTGTTACCTCCATTTAGTGCATAAGGAAGGTGAAGTTTAGAGAGGTTAAGTGATTTGTCTAAAGTTACCCAGATGGTAAACACTAGAACTGGGACTTGCTTCCAGCTCTGTCTGTCTGTACAGTTTGCTGTATTTAATAGCTCTTTTTATAATGTTTATTTGCATAAAAATATTTCATGTAGGATGTATATAATGACAAAAACATCATTTTCATTTGACAGAATTGTAGCCGATGTAGGAACCATTCTGCTTGGCTCAAAATATCTACATTTCTTCTGAGCTCTTTTCAATCTCCCCTTTGTTTTTTCTTTTTTTGACCTTTATTTTGAAATAACTTTAGATTTACAAATACATTGCAAAAATACTACAGAGTTCCCCATAACCTGATGTTAACATCTTACATAACCATAGTACAATTAGCAATGCAAAGAAATAAATGAATGCTAATGAAACTAAATGCTATTAACAATAGTATGAACGAAACTATAAGCCTTATTCAGATTTCCCAGTTTCCCCACAATGCCCTTTTTCTGTTCCAGGATCCAGTTTAGGATCCACATTACATTTAGTTTTCATATCTCCTTAGCCTCCTTTAATCTGAGACANGCACATGTCATCAGTTTGGCTCAAATAAACTCTTAAAAACAAAAAACAAAAATGGATGAAATATCCTGTATAATCCTCTCTCCTTGACTGTGGAAAGGACCTGTGAATATGATGAGATATTACTCCCAGGAGTAGATCACATTAAATGGCAAGGTGAAGGGATTTTGCAGATGTAATTAAGGTCCCTAATCACCTGGCTTTGAGTTAATCACAAGGGAGGTTATCCTGGATGGGCCTGACCTAATCAGGCAAGTCTTTAAAAGAGATTCTAGAGGTCAGAGACCGAAGGAGTCAGAGATATTCAAATCAGTACAGAAGCTCTCCTACTGACTTTAAAGAAGCAAATTGTCATGTTGTGGAGAGGGACACACGGCAGGAGATAGCAAGCCACCTCTAGGAGGTGAGGGCCTCAGTCTTATGACCACAAAAATTGGAATTCTGCCAAAAAGCAATGAGCTTGGAGGAGAACCCCCTGGTAAGGCCCTGAGCAGAGGACCCTGTTGAGGCACACCTGGACTTCTGACCTATAGAAACCGTGTGATAAAAAATGAGGGTTGTTTTAAGCCTGTAAGTTTGTGGTAATATGCTGCACAGCAACAGAAAACTAATACAGTAGATAGGGGGCAGTGTTGCACAAATATCTATAGCTACCAGAACTCCTGGGGCTCTGTTTTCAACTGTCCATGAAAATTCCAACCAAGCCACACAGAAATGTTAGAACAAACATTTATTTNGCACATGTGCACTTGTGAGTGTGTGTAAGAGATGGGGCTAAAACCGAGATGGGACAAGATAGTAGAAATGAGATCCATCTCTCTCCACCTTTCACATTTGCCAAGGGCTGGCCCTGGAATTCCAGAATAGGTTGAGTCATGGCCTCTTCTGGTTCACAGCTTCCCTCAGGGCTCAGACAAATTTAGGACAATTTGACTCATGTGTGACTCAACAGCTCAATGGAAATCATCAGTAATATTTACAATTTCTATCTGGTGAAGAGAATAAATGGACAGTAGAAAAAATGGTGTTGTGAGAAAGTTATGAGGGGAGAATGGGAGGCAGGGGAGACATTCAGATTACCAGCCCCGGGCAAAAATGGTCAGCAATATCCATTCTCTCTCCATCCATTCTCAGTAATAGAGTCTCCAAGTCCTAGCTGGTCAAATGGCTACTGAGAATATAGTTTACATTCTCCCCATCCCTAGCCAGTAGGTGGAGCTGTGTGCTTAAGTTCTGGCCGGTAGAATGGAAGCAGAGATGTCGAGTGACAGATTCTGGGAACTTTCTTTAAGAAGCCTTGGTACACACATCGTTAATTCCTTCTTCTGCCCTAATGACTTGATAGCCAGAGTCGGAACTGCCATGTGGGCCTGTGCCGTGACCCTGGGAAGAGCAGAACAAAAAGATAGAAAGTACTAGAGAAATACATGGAGCCAAGTCCACCATACCATTCTTGGACTGCTTATCAACACACGTTGATATGCTAGAGAAATAAACTTGTAGTTTAAGTCCCTATTATTTTGGAATCTTTGTTGCTCACAGACAGTGGTTCCGTTTACTGCAACAGAGAGAGCCTTCATGGACCCTACTGCTATAGCACATAATTGGCTCACCTGTAGAGGGGAAACAATGAGATTCGTTTAAGGATTAAATAAAATTTTGTCATTTTATTTAAGATCATCAAAGCTGAATTGAGATGCAGACACGCTGAAATTAACCAAGCTCACTATTTATTAAGTGACTTATTCTCCTCTTCTGGTTTCATAACGGGCTTGAGTTAAACTCAAACCTTGGTAGCATGATGATTTAGGATGTCACGTATCTTCAGGGTTCCTTTTGAAGACTCCTAACCGTGAATAAAATGTGAAAATGTGAAGTGTGGATGTATTTTGATTCTGAGTAGAAATGGTGTCTAAATCTGGGCTCTGTGTTACAAAATAATAATGGATACCTTCATTCAACTATTACCGTGCGCCAGGTACTGTTCTGTGGGCTTTATA